TTTATTAAATAATTATTTATTTTAATATAATTATTATTACTTTGAAGATTTTTAAATTTTTTTAAAATAAAAATTTCCAGAGTTTATTATTTTAAAAAATTTTAATATAAAATTTTTTAAAAACCTTTGAAGATTTTTGAAGATTTTTCCAGAAATTTTTATTGTTGTGTTCAGGAGTTGCTACATGAGGACTGGACTGGTTAGTATTGTATTCAATGGTACTTGCATATGGTGTTTCATCCTTACAATCAAGCTGCATACTATTGTCATTAATCCTTTCTCCAACAATGGATTATTATTTTATTGTTTTACTTTATATTACATGCATATGATTTTTGAAGAATCAATAAGATTATATATACTATTTATAATTTACATTTGAAAAACATATATATAAGAAAATTCTTTTTTTTTAGGAAATAGTAAAATTATTTGATTTCTCTTACATTTAATAAAGTTTTTTTTTATTAATTATAAACAATGTTTTGTTTATAACTTTTTTAATATAAAATATTATATGTAATAATATGAAATATTACAATATTATACAAATACTTCTAGTCCTTTATTAGATACTATTTAGGATTTAGTATAAAGCTTTAATATTTTTTTTCTTTGTTACTTGAATGGTTAAAAGATTAAAATAAATGAACCAAATTTTTTGAATCTTATGTTAAACTCTTTTTAGCAAAGAGAAATATATGTTAGCTAAGTATAGTTATAATATTACTGTAATAAGTAATTACGTAATTATAAATAATAAAGTCAGGCTAATAGCCACCTTAGTCTTAAAAAAATAATAATAATAAATTAATATTTAGTTATAATTGAGCATTATAGAGAATATTTGATATAATAGTAATATCCAATATACAGTATATCAATAAAGATTTGTATCTAATGCCATTAAATTATAAAAAATAAAAATAAAAATTATTTTAAATTATTTTAAATTACAGTTTACTTTCGCTATAATGGATCTGTCGGGCTGAAAAAATACTTCCATTATAGCGAATATCCGCTATAACGTTATATAGTGTAATAATAAAAAATTAAATTTGTTCCAGAATATCGCTCCGCTATAACGAGGGATTCGGTTTAACGGTGTCCGTTATAGCGAGGGTAAACTGTATTTAGAATTTTATTTTTATTTTTTTATATATAATAATATGTAATATACTGTATTGTAAGAAGTCTGAAATGCCAAAAGGAAACTCTGTCCAATCATAAAGAATGTTGCGATTATCTGATTGCTGATGCTGCATGAATTTTCTCACAGATGTAAATTCGTGTTACATGGCCTTTGATTAAACGTGGATATTATCCAAATGCCGAAGTAAATCTTTTCTCTCGCACAAACCAAAGTAAAGTAAAAATCCATTGAGGACTAAAGAATTCATATCATGAGTGAAACACGAAGATTACAATAAATCTATATCCTCGCAGATTGATAATTGGTCAATTTCGAATGATATCATGAGTCCAAATTGAAACAATGTCGGAATATATATGATGTAACTGTATTTGGAAAGAGCCAATCAACTGCTTTTCATGATAGAACATGCAACCAACCTCGCAACTTGCATTCTGGCTCCTCACTTGCAGCTGCCTCTTTCCAATCGAGGTCCATCGCCGTCGGCAAATATAATAATCATAATAGAAAAAAAAAAAAAAACTTTTTCCCACTGGATATTCACTCTTTCCGTAACGACCTCTGAGGACCCTGCTTGTCTATGAAAGAACCTTTCGTTGCCCTTGATATAATTCCTGATACACCTGTCCTCACTTTGCCTAGTAATGTTATGACTAAGCATCGAGTCACAGGCGTACTAAGAGTTGTCCTTTCCAAGCCATTAAAAGTAAAGTCAATTTCAATTACTTTTCTTGGAAAATGCGTAGTGAATTTTAGCCATGAGACGGTGACCCCAAAAAATTGGTTGTCAAAGAAAACCGGTGATGGAGTCGGCTCTCATGGCCTTCAGATATTTGACTCGTCTAGGACGCGAGGCAGTATGATCATTGTTAAGCAGACGATATCTTTACTCGAGGGTAATAAAAGACATGAACTCACGAAAGGCGATAATGAGTATTCATTTTCCTTTGATCTGCCGGCCGATGTTCCTCCCTCAATTACGGACTCACATAGTTATGTCAGATATAAATTGACTGCTGTAGTTCTACCCGCATCTTTGCTGGGAATATTATCACAAGAAAAAGTAGATTACGAGTTGAAAATAATTCGCCCTCGATCAATGCTCAATGGACTGAAAAGATATTCTGGTGTTCTTGAAGAAAAGATAAAGTATGACATTGAGGTTCCTAAAATGGTTGTGTTGTCTGCGAATACAACATCAGATGGCATGAACGCAGATGAAATAACCATTAATGTAAGACTTACAGTAATGAAAGAAATTGCAAGAATAAAATCGGTCAGCTTAGAAATATCGCAAAACTCTAAATACCTGTGCGTATTCATTTAATCTATTTATGCATCTCAGTTCGTCGTTCAATGAATCTATATACTAAATAAATGAATATCTCAACTACAGGATAACTTCGAGCTCGTCCAACAAAGTCATAGAGAGATCGTTTACTACTCACACAAAACCTGCACTCTTAATTGATTTCACCGCCGCCCTTCCATCTATAACTCAAGATCATCATTTGACTTTATCACTTCCATATATATTGATTTCTGAACTTTCACCGGACACTTCATCTCCCAACCTTGAGATCACACACAATTTTCGTATTACCATAACTTTCGTGAAAACAAACATAAGTCCTTGTTATTTGAATCTGCCTGTTGTTGTAGGCTACGTGTTTATGGATAAGAGAATGAACAGAAGCGCTAGTGTGAGTGAAGGATCAATCTCATTGCGTCAGGGAATACTTAGGGAGTTGTATCGACGAGGCTCAGAAGGATGGATATTCACAAATCAAATCCAGAATGGCCGTTCCTCATACTCTCAAGACAGCTCGAGGTCATCTGATCTTGTATCTCGTGTTTCTAGCTTCTCCAGTCTTACTACTTTGAACACCAGTGTCCTTAATTCTGTGTTTGAAGAAAATGAAAATTGCACGGAAGTTGGACTGTGATAGCAATTCATCATTTGTACAGGGTAAAATTGCCTTGTGATTTTTATTCAAGTACTGGGATGAGTAATCTATTATGAATGTTTGTCTTTATAATTCACATTATTTTTCTCCACACTCACGATTTAATCAAATTTTTTTAATATAAATCAGTACATACGTTTATGCAATATTCCCGATAATATTTATTATCCCTTTATTCATTTCCATTACTAGGCTCGCTAATGACCCAGCAAAGATATTAATGACTCCCCTTTCAGTTTCGAATGCAATTGCTTACTCACAACTTTATGAACTAGCATCACAAATTTTTTATTAGATACCATTTTTTTCGTTGCACGGTGAAATTTTGGGCATTAATCAAAAACTGTCAAGTTATCGCATTTATTAGAAATTAGATTTCACCTTTGAACCTTTGGTTGAATTCCATATGAATCAATTTGTAAATAATTTACGTGACTAAATGCGCGTAGGGATTATAGATCTGGCATTGTCAATTATTTTTGGTGTAATATAATCCAGTGGATTAAGGTTAAACATATTAAAAATGGATGACGATTCTTTTTTTGGTCAATAAATGCGCTTTAATGAAAATTATGAATCCTTTAATTAATCAAATTCATTAAGTTGTACAGGTTTAACTTTTTAAACAATTTACATTCACCACGTGCTCTAGTGGTGTGATTGATGTTCTTTACGCCACATACTATATAGGAAAGAAATTAAATTTGAAAGAGTGCTATTCTGAGTTAAAAAAAGGAAGGCGGTATGCTTTGAACAACTTCTATGTAAGATTTCAACCTATAAATCCCTTCCATACCACACCAGAACATTATCCAATTTGTACCTGGCACTCGAAAATATCCGTCCGATCTTTCGAAATACCTAATTTATGAATTACGAAATTAGGTCTAACCAAATAAAGCATTAAAGTAAAGATTATGTGATATTTACCATTTATTAACACCATTATCAACCCTCGACCTCCACATTAAATTTGGATGCATTATCTTCAATTGCTTCCACAATATGTCTGCGGTTCCTGTGCCCTGGGCATTGGGTGCTACAGAAAATTTATCCAAGTAAGGTATACCTTTCTCGTCCGCTTCTACTTTTTCCATAGTAACCACAGCCGCCCCTTGAAAGTCTCCGACGACAATAATTTTATTTATGCAATCCTTTACCCTAGAAAGGTATTTGTCAAAGTTTAATTTGCGCTCAAATGATTTCTCAATCAGGTATTTCAATGACGATATATTGACGGTATCTAATGAATCATGAAAAAACACGGGTGCACCGTATCTTAAGACGGTAGTAGAGGTTGAATGAGTGGATGAGGCCTCAAGTGGTAAAGAAGACGAAAATAATGGTTTATCTGTGATGAGATTTGATATTAAGCCAGCGGGAGAGAAAGCTGGAACCATAATTGCTGACGTAGTGGACGGAAGTTTTTCCAGACAGGTTTTAATCATTTCGAAATTTTCAAGGCTCGTAGGATGTGTAAATTTCCATTGTGGGTTAAGCTTAAAACTTCGTATGATATCCTCGTACTCTTGTTGAATATTTATAAAAACATGTGAACCCCGACGTTCTTCAGACGGTATTCCGCCTTCCGAATTAATGACAATAATTTTCATGGGTTCAATCTGTGGTGTTTTCAATTCCAACAAATTTGCATTAGATTGATCGGACAAGGCGCGTGATAGCTCTACGATTCCGGTGTTCGGAGAAATTACTCTTTGCATTGACAATCCATCAAGAGCTATGGGAAGTATGAGAGGAATTTGGCCTAATCTCAAGCATGATTTGAGCAAACATAATGAAACGTTGACCCGCGCTCCAACGTCAGTTAATAGAATACGTTTTGGAAATCGGTGACGATATGGTTTTTTATCTTCTTTCTCCGAGCCATTTGTAAGGGTAAACACGCCATTATATATAGGTACAGCTCTTCCGCCAACGTTCTCAATCGCATCACTAATACTGGCTGCATTATCCACCATCCATCTTCGCAACTCATTAAAACGTGAGGGCCCTTCCTTCAACATCTCTTTCCATTCATCATTATCTAAGACCACGATTGACATCAATCCCAATTTCTGTAGGTAAACCAATGTTTTTGCCACTGACTTTATGTCTAAAGCGGGGAGGGGTCCTTGAATCTTAATTAAAGCAACGTGCTCAAAACGTGATGTAAAAAGAGAATCGACAAATTGCGATTTTTGTTGAATAGATGATTTTGTTGATTCTTGCTCACTTTGTTCTTGTCCGGGAATATTTTGTTGATGATGTTCATTTTCAGCAGGTGAAAGAGATATCTTGAAGCGATTGATATATGATTGGGCTTCTCTTTTGCTTGGAAATGTTCTTAGGACTTGCTCTATAAAATCCTTTAAGTATGTTATAATATAAATCAATTATTGTTTCGTAAATAAATAATGTAATTTAATGAAAATGAAACACCAACCCGATCCGTTTTCTCTTTAGGTCTCTTTGGAATTGGAATTGACGGATCAATTTTAGGTGCAATGACGGCTGTCTACATAAAAAGTGAACAATTACTATGATTTCGCTAAATCAAAGAGTTGATAATAAAATCGTTACCCCCAGAAATTTTCTTGAAGAATGATACCGTTGTGAATAGCAACCATTGTTAAGATATGAACTATATTTTGTTGGAGAAAAGTGTAGACATGATCTTAATTTTAACATTCTTTACATAAGACGGAAGTATCGTATATTAAATAATCGTTGTTAAAGTCGGAACAAAATGTATATTTTTTTTACACACGTACACACATCATATTTATCCCAATAAACCGTAATTTCGGTTTATTCCGGATGCTCCGTTGATGTATTCCATTTGGATAATATTCATTAATTATATCCGAGCGAAAAACGAAAGTTTTTGTACTTTAAAAATTTCGAATTCAGGCTAATACGGAATCAGGAAAACCATTTCACAGAATACATTTTTACAACATTTTTTAAAAAACTTTTTTTTTTGAAACTAACATGCATGCTAGTAGGGTTCGTCACGGATCGGATCGGATCTGGATGATCGACGCTACTTTAAAATATATCGGGACAACAGATATTTTACATAATTCAGGTCAAGTGATTGATCTTACGTGCAAACTATGCAATTTTTCCCATCTCTTTAACTTTGCATATCGTATATCTAATTTTAGATAGAATAAAAATATTTTAACAAAAAATATTTTTTAAATTGATGCTTATATATAAATTATGCTTGTTTTATTAATCTATAAATGTATAAAATATATATAAAATAATATTGTCATATTGTAATCATAATTACAATAATTAATATAAAAATTAATATTTAAAAGATTATATTTATTTATATTTTTTTTATTTTTTTAATATTATGATTTCTATTAATAAACCAATTAATCAATAAAAAATTTTTTTTGTAAAAATATGTTGTTTGTATATGAATTTAACAATTTTTAAATAATATAAATATAAAAATTAGGTTTCTAAAGTAATAAATAAATATTATTAACATTTAATTATTTAAAATATAAATTAATTAGAGATAAAAATAAGATGATAATGTTTTTGCATAATAGATTATGTCGACTAAATTACAAATCATGTCTGTTCTGACTATAAAACTTTCGCGCAATTATTTTATACTGTTGCTATCTATCAATTTATAATAATTTAATTACATATTTTTTATATTCTGTTTGCACTCTATTAAATAATTCGTGACTCAAATGATATTCAAAAGGGTGACTATACAGTAAATTATACGATAATCGAAACGTGTAAGTACTGCTATATAAACTCGAGATCAAAAGGATTTTCCTACTATCTACAATACTTTAACCTTAAAAGCAAGTTGTATAAAATCTTTATTTTGTGTCCGTGTAACTTTGGGAAACGCATATAAACATTTAGATGAAAATTTCAAATTTAAATAGATCAAATATGACCTGTCCCAAATGTAATAAAAAATCTGGTATTTGGTGTACGCCATGCAATAGAATTCATTTTCAACAAGGTTTTGAAAAATGGACAAGTGGGAATAAAAAAATTGACGAATTTATACAAAAGTCTCAGCTTCAAGCTGAGCATCAAATGGAGATATTAGAATGGATACCGTATACACAATTTCAAGATGTCAAATATATCGCTAAAGGTGGATATGGCACTGTGTATTCTGCGACATGGAAAGATGGTTATATTGGGAGATGGGATGTTTTCAATAGGAAATGGGTTAGATATCGTAATAAGAAAGTAGCATTAAAATGCTTAGATAAGCTTAGCTCAGTTGACGATCTTATAAGTGAGGTAAAGAATATTAAACCTCGTTTAACAATAGTTTTATTATTAATATAATTTATTTTAAATTTTAGATTGAGAAACATTTCATTCTATGGTTTGCTTACACTGTTAAATGTTACGGAATTACGCAACAACCAAAATCATTATGCTATATGATGGTTTTTGAGTTTCAAGAAAATGGCAGTCTCAGGAATTACTTGGACCAAAATTTTTACAAGATGGATTTGAAATTAAAAATAAAATCATTACTTTGGATTTCAGATGGTTTAAGTATTATGCACTTCAAGAACTTAGTTCATGGAGACTTTCATCCTGGAAATCTTTTATATAATTGGTCATTAGATTTGCAGATTTCAGATCTAGGTCTTTGTAAAATATTTTCAGAAAAAAAAACCTCGACTCGTCGAGAAATTTATGGAGTTCTTCCATACATTGCACCTGAAGTCTTGTATGGCCATGCTTACACGCCAGCAGCAGATATTTATTCATTTGGAATGGTAGCATATGAAATGATCACAGGATTTCCTCCATACTATAATATTCC